ACTATCCTAATATTATAAACAGGAAATATTTGATTGTTTGTTTGCATCAAATACGCTCCTAAACTACTGCAGAGTTTTTTAAAAGTCTTTCATCTTCAAAAAGCTACGCCATATGCGAATTACATAGGCGATAATTTAGTCGGGCGAAGTCAAGTTAAATAGCTAGTCAACTAAAATAAAAAACAGATTGAAAATAGTACAGCTCTAAAAGAGGCATTTGTTCAGACCAATTCGCCCAATAATAAAACAATAATATTCATTCAAATTCCTCCGTGTTTCGGAAGGTACGTCAACCTGTTAGTGGCACCGGCCCGCGTGAGGGATCATGGCCCATTCTGTCTATTTAATTTAATTAAATTCCATAGTGAAGGTCTGAATCCTAGCAACATGATATTAATAGGCTGGTGATGATTCGTTCAAAACAAACATTTTCTTTTTAAAAACAATCTTTTGGTGTTATTATTTTGAACTGAGATCTTTTATAACCAAATCGAACGAGCCTAACTGGACAGGCTTGCGTTACTTAATTATAAGGTTCCTATAGCCACCTTCGACCTTCATCATTATACTCTTTATATTATATCGGATCAAAGTCCTTGTTAACACAAATCAAAAGAGACAGATGTGATGTTATGTAATATATCGGTATGAGATGCAGTACTGACTACGGAGACAATAGTTCAAATATTTAAGATTTTTAGAGTTGCGTACCGAAACGGTAAAACAGGACTCTATTACTAAGACTCCACTGTCCGTCCGTCTGTCTCTCCGACTGTCACCAGGTTGTATTTCATGAACCGTGATAGTCAAGACAGTTGGAATAACAACAAATACTAAAAAATAGAATAAAATAATTATTAAAGGGGCTCCTATACAACAAACGTGATTTTTTAAATGTGTATAATTGCATGGAACCCTACATGCACGATTCTGACTAGCATTTGGCCGATTTTTATTGTTTTAAAACACGTATTTACATAAAACACACATCGATGCATTTCGTTATCTTTAAAGGCTTTTAAAGGTTATCTATTATAAGGGAACCTATTGAGATAGTGTTTTATCAAACACATAACAATTTAAATGTGTCACGATTATCATATAATTATAAATACCATGCTAGGATGCTGTTTTGTATATTTATACAATGTTTAGGTTTAGATTTTATAACGTCAGTGTCGATTTTGGGCCGTATCTATTTTTACATAAGAGCTGGTGAGTTTCTAGTTCTTGTCAGCCCAACGACGTCTTGAACAGCCCTACGATTCTGTAAAAATCCAGACCCGAATTCGAATTCACTCATGTGTCCGAAATCACGTCATTAAGTGTAAAAATTCTATTGATTCAATTTTTTTTGTATAAAAATACATAACAAAATTGATTGAATACACGTGTCTCAGATATTCTATTCCTATATCATTTCGAAACTCACTTCACTTATGCTACGAAACGTTATTACCAATTCAAGGTTGAGCGTATGCCTCTTTTTGAAGTCAATTCGGACACCTGAGAGAATTCGAATTCGGGTTTGGAGTTTTACAGAATCGCAGGGCAGAGGTAAAAATGTTGGACGATTCAAAAGTACGTAGAGTAAGTTTATTTGAATACAGATATCCAAAAGAAGATTGATTATATTGAGTCGGTTCTATTGATTTTCATAAATAGGACCGACTTCGAACTTTAAAAAGGTGAGAAATAATACTTATCGTAAAGCGCTATTGAAGTTGATAAACGCCTGACTTCAATAGCACTTTCTTGAATAAGTCGCTTTCAAGATAAGTATTATTTCCTACTTTTTTTTAAAGTATGAAGCCGGTTCTTTTTTGGTAAGTATCACGATTTTTATTGATATTGATTTTTTATTATTAGTAACATTAAACATATTAAATATCTATAAAAAAATGTCAACATATTGAATGTCTTATGAAAGGAAATTTAGTTAATTCTCTGAGAACCACTGCTGTAGACCATTATTATGCGGAGAACACTCGCAAGCTGAGTAACGACCTTGCATTAGACTGTAAGGGGTTAGACTACATCTTCTAGCAGTTCAGCGACTCAGCATTTTCCCTTCGCCCTATCCTTTTCTATCGACATTTGCTAGAATGAGAGAGCTAGAGGGTTTTCGCCAGATTTCGTACGACGCGATAGAGAACATGTTATCTCTCTCGCTCTAACGTTGTTGTTTATTCGTTTTTAATGGCAATAATAAAATAATCCTTAATGGACAGCCCTGTTTAGGTAATTCTAACCAGATGTGGTCCATCAATACAGTATCATTTGCAATCAAACTGTTCATTGTCTGGCGTTCATTATCTTTCATTATACTTAATTCTTATAACTTATAAGCAGAGCTCGGAATTAGGTAGAGTTATATATGTACTTGCATCGAAAGTTTGATATTAATGTGGACCTTTCCGGGATTTCTTTATTTTATTTATTTATTCTTTCTTTCATTGATGTAAGTTTGGCAACGTCGTGCGTGCAGTAGTTGAAATTGTGTAAAAGTAAATAACTTTTTATTTAAAAAATCACAGGATTTTTTCTGCTCTTTAAAATTAATCTCGGGATTTGAGGCATATCCATTTTATTCTTTCGCTGTATGAAATCAGTGTAAGTACATGAATAACTCTACCTAATTCCGACCACTGCTTATAGGTAACTACTCAGTTCTCAATTTGTAACGCAATTGAATCGACTAAAAGAAAAACAATATAATAATCGAAAAGTATTAAAGTTATAGCTCTATAATCTGTACTAATTATGATAAAGAGGACAGATTCGATCATTTGTTTGCAATGGGGAAGTATTAAAAAAAAGCATTAGTTCCCGAAATCAAACTAGATGACGCTACGGTACGTTCTTGATTTCTCCACGACAGACAACCCTTCCGGTTTCCTTTCATGTTTAAAAGTAAATTAGTTTTCAAAACTCAATAAACAACTCGTATTCTATTTGTACTTTTTCGTATTTGTATTGATATCTAAGTTTCGAACTTTTCAAATTTCAGATTTTTAATATGTTAGTTAAAAGGAACGGAAATGGCTGTCTTTAGTCCGTTCGTTTCCTGCAAAAATCAACTTTTGCTAGAGTCGCCATCTAGTGGAGGTGCTTTTTTAGTGCTTTTTTTTTAAAAAAAATGCTTCCTCATTGGCTCTGAAACAACGGGAATGATTTAATAAATCTTTCACCTACGGGAAGCTACATCATACGCTGGTAATATATGCTTACACGGGTGAAGTGGCGGAAACAATTGGAAGAAAAACTATTAATATATATTATTTCTGTTTGTTTTTAAAATTTTGTTTGGAAAAAATATAATTATAAACAATTGAAAATATATTATATTTTACAAATTGTGTATTAATTAAGTAGGATTGAGATAAAACCACAATGTTTATCTTACTCCCTTGCAGGAAAATGGAAATCGACTTCTTTTCTTGGCCGCATAATAAAATTTCCGTTCGATAAAGTTAGCTTGGAGATAAAGATATTTCTTTATTACGATCAGATCATCTTTTTATATGTTTTTCCCATTTATCGATATATAATTGGAACTTTTAGGATACGCCACAATGAATATGCTATATAAAAATCAAATGAGTCACCCCCACAGTTCAAGGAGAATTCTTTTTGTCATAGAAGGAAAACTTACGAAATTAAAAAACACTGCCACATTTTTATTAAGGTTATAATGACATTTTTACGGAAAAAATAAATAAATTGCTTTTTTCCAATTTCATGTTTTGTTAGTTTACCTTCTATGGGTACGGATATTCTTTAGTGTTTGCTTACCAATTGTAATCATCTGACTCTTCACTTAATTATTAAGTTTTATTTTCTTGCCTTTTTCTGACTTAATTATTTTTTAATATATCTATAGAGCAGGACAGGGAAAGATGAAAGATGAAGTAATATTTAAAAAAAACTTTAGCAATGTAATTAATAAACAAGGTTTAGTGTATTAGTGTAAATTTACGCTGAGAGTGCACTTACGATTACTCAAAATTCATACGAGTATTATTAAACAGTGGCATAGCAAAGGTTAACCTAGTATGAATAGAATAGAATAGAATAGATTTTAGAAAACCTCAGTTTTACGGGAGTAATATTTACTCCTAGAAGTAGAGTTACCACCCGTACTTTATATTAAAGTATTGTACGTTATTTCAGACAATTGTACTCTATACTCTATAAGAAAAATAAAGAACACTAAAATACTTTATGTCGTATGATTTGATTTGTTTGTGATTTTGAAGCTTAGTCGTAAGTATTTTTTCGTTAAACAGAATTTATCGATTCATGCTGAATAGATAAATAAAAAGAAATGTATTTTTAAGTTTAGTAATAAAGAAAAATAAATAATACTTTATTTTGATTCAATTTACTTTGTTTTTGTACCTGTAATAACTAATGTACTTTAATTGGGGAAAAAAAGGTGGCAACCCTACCTAGAAGGTAGTAGGATTGCTTATTATCTGTATAATATGAATTTGGATTAATACTAAAATTGCAATTTTAGCAGAAATTTACTCTGACGCTAAACCTTATTTATTAATAGCACTGCAAAGGTATATCTAAAACTGTTTTAATATCGAAACTTTTTTAAGAGCGCTATTGTAGTAACTATTGACGAAGTTTTGAAATGGCTAAGCTTGCTTGTTTAATATCACTTTCCGAATTTCTTCGCATTTGTGAATACCCCAAAGTAGCTTATTTCTTTTGCCGCTAGCTATAACAACAAATACTATAAATAAATAATTAAGGGGGGACTCTCATATAAAAAAACTTGGATTTTGTGCATTTCTTATAAATCATTATTATATTTGGTTCAATAGAAAACACTTGATTGGTATTTAAAATAACTTCAAAGGACAAAATGGCGTCTGAATGTTTTGTATCTTTTTACTAACCCCTCCTTTGTTTCTTCTTAATACAAGATTTGAAAAAGGAATAGTTGATTCGTATGTTTCAGCTAAATGAACGATTGTTTTCTGCAGGGAGTTTCGTTCATCGGCTGGCATCAGCGTACGAAGTTAGAACGAGTGCTACTAGTGACGACAGCTGTCCTCTTCTTGGGTATATTGTTGACCGCTACGTTGTTCCTAACAACACGAGGGACTGCATATTTACCAGTGCCTCCGTGTTACCAACCAGAGACCAAAGGTAACAAATGTATATTACAAATATTTCCACTTTTTTTTTAAGTTGTCCCATTTTGTCCCAGTGCTCTCACATTTGAACGCGTTAAACTCGAAAACTACGTGTCGGATTTTCATGTATTTTACGCCAATAGATTGAGTAATTTAAGAGGAAGGTTTTGGTGTATAACTCATGAAGGTTTTAGGATTTAATGGAGTCATCTTTAGTAATATCGACTCTGTAGCATGGTAATAGCTTCGTTTACGCTCTCTATTAAGTTACTCTCCATTAGTACAGACCGCTTCCGCGTTTGTGATAGTATAATATAATCATATACGAATAATGATTCATTTTCAACACGTACCGAAAAGATCAGATGTTAATATTTCAGAACCAGGTTCTTTTTAGATTGACAAAACCGAGATTCCCTTAATAAAAACTGATTCAGATGCTGAAGCGTTACACTTGAAACTGTGAAGTCTCGGAAGATTGTTAAATAGCTTATTGAATTTATGTAAATTCTTATGACTTCAAAAAAAACAACAAATAAAAAATATTATTACGATATGTAATTTTCAATCCTGGAAGATTGTTATTAAAATGTAATCGAAGATCAGGATTGTTCTTTTCACATCACTTGGTTTCTGTATTTGTTGAATTTTAAACTTTAATACCCACATATATAATTAATAATAATATAATTCATTATTTTTTGTAGATGCCAGTGTATGTCTGTCAAGTTCGTGCATATATACTGCGAGTGAAGTGATAAGAGCCCTGGACACCAATCAGGACCCATGCGATGACTTCTACGAATTCGCCTGCGGAGGTTGGATCAGGAACAACCCTATCCCCGAGGGTAAATCCACTTGGGGCATCTTCAGCAAGATAGAACTGCAGAACCAACTCATCATTCGCTATGCACTTGGTAAGTTCAAAGTATTTGAAGTTTTTAATCAAAATTAGTGATGTGCCAGATTTAATATGGTATATTCGCTAATTGAACGGGTATTTTATATCAAGATACTTAATCTTAAATCGTTATAATTTGGCGAGACACCTCGACGCTATAGGTACCTAATCTTTATTCGGGGTTATTTTTAATTTATTGAAAACCTCTTTGGACTATTAGCTCTTAAACCAGTGAAATTGTAACGCATTTAACATTTGTCATTTAGATATGATGCGAATGTTTGGGGCATTCCTAATTCAATGTTCCTACTTACTGAGTGACATTTTTTCGCGTCATAAACTCCTTTTTTAGATTAAACAAAAGGTAAAACAGGAACCCTATTACTAAGACTTCGCTTTCTATCCGTCACCAGGGATCTCATGAACCGTGATAGTAAGAAAGTTGAAATCTTCAAAGATAATGTATTTCTGCTGCCGCTATAACTAAAAATACAAAAAAATAGAATAAACTAAATATTAAAAGGGCATCCCATACAACAAACGTGATTTTTTTGGCAGTACCACATGGGCCGTGATAGTTTTGCTCGTTTTCTGTACGGAACCCTTCGTGCGCGAATTCGGCATACATTATTTATTTTTCTTAATTATACTTCATCATTATAACATATCTTTTCTATTTACTTCTTGTAACCTGATATAAAACAAGCAGAATTATTACATAAGATGCGAAATAATATTAAACATTTATTTTATGCATATTTTATGAATCGATATTAACAAACCTTTATTATTCGAAAAAGGACACTTCCGAGTTGGTCCAATAGAAATTTCACCAAAATTATTTCAATGATTTTGTTCTTATATCGAAATAACTATATAAAATATATCATCGCAGTGAAAAAAAAAAAAATGATGAACTTTTTGTTATCTTTTTTTATGAATAGATTCTCACTAAAAGTTTTGTATTTTACTTGGATTATTTCTCAAAAATGTCACGTTTGTATCCGTGCGAAATATTGTCTGAAACAACTTGTTGTCTTTTATTTTAAATATTTAGGGAAATGTAATCTGATGACGGCCAGGCGTCCCACAGTGCCCTTGAACCTTGAATAATCAATAATTCCCTTGTTGTTTAGGGATAGACGCGCCCTGTGCCATAGAAAATAGTATGGATATAAGTAACTACACTGTTTCCAAACGGTATAATCACACACAATATGATTATAAAAGTTAATGACTAATGTAGTTATTGAAAAATGACTTAATCTAATTGAATGTTGAAAAACAAAGACTAAAATAATTTTTGTATTATAAAAATGACGACATAAAACTTATAATCTACGTTAGGTCACAGAATACACATAGAATATCATTGATTCTACACACAAAACTTTTGTTTTGTATCTACAATTATATTGCGATAACAGGAGACGAATGGCGGCCTTATCACTAAAAGTGATCCTTCCCTTGGGATGGATTTAAAAATATTTGGGGATGCATGGAACTGACATAAGCATCTTGGGGAGCCATGTTCATACTTTTTACATTAAATCGTTGGTTGAGTACTGGGCAAGTAAAATAAATCATTATTGTAAATTGGGACTATAGTTTCGAAAATATTAACTACTTAACAAAGAATATTGTTCTGCTGCTGAGCTGATTTAGATGATTCACTAGTTTTACATAAGATTATCCTTATTGCTTTAAGAAACAATTAAAAAAACCATATTGCGGAATTTATGTTGTTAATGTATATAAATATAATATTAAAATTAAATATCCTCTACAATGTTTGTGTGTAGCCAGTTAACACATATACTTAGAATTTTAGGCTTTTCGGAACAACACTGCAAAAATTATCGACCAACAAAATTTTTGTATAAACAACTACGTAAGCAATCATACCTTATAAGTTATGTTTATTTTATTTATTTGCGTGATCTCTTTTAAAGTTATATATTATTGATAAAATGTAGAGTTGGCAAATCAATACAATCACATTTTTGTGATCAGATATTATTAATAGGTTATTTTTCTATTTTCCCTGCGAAATCACCATCATTAAACTATTCTGCTGGGCATAGATATTTTCTATGGATGGTATCAAATATTGAGAACGAGTCATAACTCACCACGCGACCCAGTACAGATTGTTTGGTGCTAACAACTGCATATGCATTGGTCAATAGTTTAACGTGATTTCCAAAACATGCAGGAGCTTAAGATGAATTTTTGGTCACCCACGGCAGGACCGGCCTTTGTGAATGTTACTTAACTTCCGCATCGCAAGCCGAATGTCACTATGCCATCGAGCTCCTCGATCAATACCCAATAATTTTAGAGATAGTTGGAACGAAGGAAGCTGAATGTAGACTTGAACATACCTATATGACTCACAGTTGAAAGCACGTCGCTTTGTTCACAAAATATCTAAAATCTCTTAATCCTTAACTCTAGTAACGAGTTAAGGATAAGGAGATTAGGACAGGATAAGGAGTTCTACTTGTTACAAGTACTATTGTAACAAGTAGAATAGAAGAATGAAAAGTGGATAAATGTTTCACATTAATCCCATGTGACGGTAGAGAAATGGCCAATCCACGTATTTTAGTTAAATTGTAAAAGTCGTAGAGTTAGAATGCCTGACACTGCGTGAGATCTGAAAAAAAATTTAAAAGTAAGAGCTAGATATATCCTTCTCGTCTTCGTTATATTTTACATGAAAATGTTTATGGGGCTATCTGTATTACGTCAGTAGCATAATTATAACTTTTTTCGTGAAAGTGTGTATAAAGAAAAGGTTGTTGCTCATTAAAATAAAAAAAGAGAGAAAAAATATTCCTTCATTCATCTGGAATTTATTGTTGAATATTCAGATATACTTAAAAATTTGCCATTTGCAAATATAAAGATTGTTATATTTTAGGTATTCAAAGCGCCACTGAGATGTTTTCATGTCATTAAAACATCATATGAGTATATGACGCCATCTACGTCATTTACTACGTAAGAATAATCATTAGAATTTTTAAAAGTTTAAGTGGCACTAATTTTGTTTTTATTGAAACTAGATCTTGCTTTAAACTTATTTTTTTTTTAATAATATTCACAGACTAAAGAAATTGTGACATACATAAAATATTTAAAAAAATAAATAAAATAGGCGACAATGTGTATACTTGTAGGACTCTTATAAATAAATGTGGATGATAGAATATATGTTTTTCGTTAATCAAATGAAATGAGTTATTATTATTATTATCCTTTTATATAATGAAATATTCAGGTTGATGTAGTCGGAAGCTTTACTAATGTCAAAAATAAAATTACAAGGAAAATGTTTGTTTTTAATACCGTACCATTTCATATAATAAGTCATTTATTAGCGGCCTTTTATTAAATTAGAGTGCTATTGTGAAATCCAGTTTATCTTTTTCGTTTACATATATATAAATAATTAGAGCTCGTCTTTTGTGGCAGTTTATTATGTTTGCAAATATACGTACTTTTTGTATCATATAGCAAACCGAAGATCGAGAATATTTGTTTTTAATGGAAACGCAAATTTTACTTTGTCCAAAAATTATGTATTTTAAATAAATTGTTTCCAATTTTAGTCATTTGATTATTATATTACTAAAAAGTCTTGGTAATCTTTGACACTCATGATTGGAAAAAATGTTAACTTTATTTAGTAAGGGGTAGAAAAGAATTAAGAGAATTGATTGAGCTTAATGTTTAGAATTATATATATTTTGTTAAATAAACTAAGTTACCTTTTTGAAGTGTGTTCTTTAAAAGTCTAAAGTAAAAAGAACAACAAGAACAAAGTAAAAAGAAGAAAAACTTTTTTTTTCTAGAAAAAGTGAATGTCACCGATGGCGGCGCAGAGGCAAAAGCCCGCATTTATTACGACGCATGCATAGACACTAACGAGACCATAGAAAAAATGGGTGAGAAACCTCTGTTGTCCGTGATCAAGGAGTTGGGTGGATGGCACATTCTACCCAGTACGACAGTGCAGCATCATAAATGGAATCTGCAGTCGTTACTCCAGGATGTCCAAAACACGTGAGTTTCTGGGTCCCTTAATGTAAAAGACAAATTATTGCATGACTAGTGATGTTGTTATCTGTAAAGAATATTTTTAACCTGCGTCCTGTGTGGTATAAGAAACTTTAGTTCCTGCTATCAAAAAATAGAGTAACCAATAAAATGCATGACACATTGTAACAAATGTTTTTGTCAAAGCATCATTCATAACGTTTCTGAAAATCTTGGCAACACTGAAAGCTTTTGAAACGACAATCTTTAGAAGCGTCCCAACTAACATTACAGCTGCAAATAATGTTTACTTTAAAACGTAAAGTGTTATAAAGGTTGATTAGTAACTGTAATTATAGGTTGTGGTAACAAAAGAGAGTTAGTAATAAAATGTAACGCTTATAGTGACAGCAAGTCTATAAGAGCAATGGTATGGAGGCTAAAGGCGTACAGCAGCGATTATTATCCCTACAGTACAGACCAAAGCTTTTGTGTTATAGCTTTGAGCGAATCTTACCACTATAAGATCTATATAAGAAATTATCATTTACTATTCTCCTCAAGTTCTAGGCCAGCTATTATAAACTCATTTGTAGCGCTGATAGTTGCGCAAAGGAAGCAATTAACGCTACTAGCTCTATAAGTGTGTTTCTTAACTCTTTCATAAAACCAAAGTCCTAATGGGATACATAACTCCTGTGTATAACTTAGGGATGTATATTAGAGGTATTTCCCCCTATTAATAGATGCCATAGAGTCAAATATAGTTTTATATTACCGTTAGTTGCATTTTTGAGTTTATTACCACTTTAATAACTCTATTGGGTCACGTGTTCGCTTATGTAAATCGATAAAATGGCGTCGCAACCTATCTCGACTAAAAAGTACTTTAAAAGTTGAAAAACTTATGACAATGAAGTTGTTTGTCTTTCTAGCGTTTTGATAACAGGTTCATGACATTTTTAAATCAATAGGCAAAGTTTTAAAACATTTTTATTAAAAAAAAATTAGCTTTATGGGAAGTGAAACATTTTTTTTTACATAAATACACAACTAAGAGTGGGCCCCTTAATTATTTGATTATAATATACAGCTACACTCACAGTAAAGTTACTTTCGCAATGAAAATTCCGCTTCAGTTTTCCATTAATAAGTTAGGATTTCACCGTTTAACTCCGCCATTTTATTCGTGTAAAGATCATTAGTGTGGAGATTAGGTGCAGTAACAATTTAACGTTAAGGCAAAACGTAATGTTAAGCAGTCTAGGAAAAAAAGTAAAAAAAACTATGTCTTTAAACGTTAAAATTTCCTATTGTAGATCTGTACTGCAACTCAAGGTGTTACAATTTACCTTATTGCCACCATATAACCGCTTAATGTTACTTGCGGTTGGACATTTAGATAGATAGAATAATGAATAAGAAACATATATTGACCTTTATCATTAGGTAATACATGACGTTATACATATTAGCTTGGGGAAAAAGTCTTTTCGCTTAAGTATGCATAAACTTGTTATAAAATATTTCTGGCTATACCATTTATATCTGGCTGGTTTTGGTATAATTAAAAAAGTTTAAAATAAAGAATGATAATTCTGAATTCAAATTAGGAAAATGTGTAATACACATATGTTTTTCTTATTGTTAAAAAAGAGTGAATCTAATGAAAAAATTCGATACATTTTAAAATTTTATTACAAAAAGATAAAAATTCAATGCAAGCCGCAAAAAAAATGTGATGTTTATGAACCTAGTGGAGTATATGTAAGAGTAGCACAAATTTGGTTTAAGCATTTTAAGTCCGGAAATTTTGACGTCAAAGATGCACGTCGCTCGGGTGGAATTTGTCTGTTACGGATAAAATGGATGCCATTTTTTTAAAAGTAGAGCAAGACCGACGTATTAGTAATTACGACGTTGCTGAAGAACTGGACATTGACTGCAAAACACTTTTGGCTCATTTGAAAAAGATGGGTACACAAAAAAGTTGGGTTTTTGGGTACCTCATGAGCTCACTGAAAGAAACCTAATGAACCGTGTACTCATTTGTGATTCTTTATTACGGCGTAATGAATCTGAACCATTTTTATAGAAGCTGATAACTGGTGGTTAAAAATTGATCACGTACGACAAGAAAGTGTCTTAAAAAGTCGTAGTCAAAGGTCAGTCAGGCTTCACAGACTGTGGCGAAACCCGGGTTAACACGCAACATGGTAATGCTTTGTGTATGGTGGGATGGGAAGGGCATTATTCATTATGTCCTGTTACCGCCAGGCAGGACCATCGATATTGAGCTCTATTGCGAAAACTGATGCGATTAAAACAAGAAATGCAGAGACAGCGACCAGAATTAATCAATAGGAGAGGTGTGGTTTTTCATCACGATAACTAGATTTTACACATATTTTACCACTCAGCAAAAATTAAGAGAGTTTGCCTGGGAGGTGTTAATGCATCCGCCGTATTGACGTTGCACTTCAGATTTCCACTTGTTTCGGTCTCTTCATAATTCTTTAGGCAGTGCCAGGTTAACACCACGCGAAGACTGCTAAAACCACTTGTCGCGGTTTTTTTATCGGAAGCCCCCAAAATTTCTATAACAATGGGATCATGTTCCTACTTACAAGGAGGCAAATAGTTATGAAAAAAATGGTACCTACATACTTTAGTTAAATATAAATAAACTTTATTGAAAAATGTTATGAATGTATGTATATATAAAAAGCGAAGAAACTTTCCCCCCAATCTATTATAATTAGAGGTGATTGGAGTAATAAATAAACCTATAAACAACAAGAAGTTAATATTTGTAGATCAATCAGAACCTTACCTAAGCTTGTGGTGATTTGAAACAAGGTGTTTCGCATCAACAATGATATTCCGCTGGCATGGTGCACGTGGTAAGACGTAAAAGAGTGTTAATTTTTAGGAATTTCTTCTAGATACAACTTGGGCGGACTTTTCAATTGGGCTGTTACAGAGGACGACAGAAATTCCTCTGTTCACGTGATTGTGGTGAGATTTTTTTGAATTGATAATTTTTTCAGCCTTTAAAAATTGAGACAGATAAATCAAATATCAAAAATCTTATTTTTCAGTTAGATCAAGGTGGCCTGAACTTACCGACCCGTGACAATTATCTCAACAAGACAGCGCATAAGAAAGTCCTAGACGCTTACTTAGATTATATGACACGCATATGCATGCTACTTGGAGCCAACAAAACTGAAGCCAGGATACAAATGAGCAGAGTGATTCAGTTTGAAACAGAGCTAGCTAATATAACGACACCTTCTGAAGACAGAAGGGACGAGGAAGGATTATATAATCCGTACACGATAAGACAGTGGCAGAAAGAAGCGCCTTTTTTGAATTGGACTCTATTCTTCAATAACGCATTTAGTTTGGTTAACAGAAGTGTAAGTGTTTATTAATCTCTTGTCGTCTTTAAACTGTTTTAAGGGCGGTTCCACCGTTATACGTATGACATCAAATTGTCATGGTTTACTGTGCTTGATTACACTGTACAAAATTTTGTTTACAGCGTCATTATATTTCAGTAAACATTTTCTAGACAAGAATCCACTATTTTGATCAGGATTTCATATTCCAATTGCCACTTGATCTGTTTTCGGATGGTCACAATCTTTTTAAATGTCAGTCTACAGTTAAGGGCAGCCCTGAACTGTAAGAATAATGAACATTTTTACTATGTACCTTATTTCATTTGAGTCCCCGATATTTCCGCGTTGTTGCAGCGCATGTTCATGGAGTAACTGGTAATATTGTGTGTGGATTTATTGGGAGATATACCGATCTACTACACTCCAAGCCTCAGTTCAACACTCGTAACACCGTTCAATAAGTTTACTGCTATTACTTATTTCATTTAGAAACACTTTCCATCAGTTTGGAGTTTCTTATAGATGTAAGAGGGACACAACGTAACCTTCACTTCCAAGTCCGATGCAATGTGAAAAGTTCCATTGCTAAATATAGTAATAGATCGCAGCAAGAAACGAGGCTGGGACCGCAATCCACAAAGCTATAATGTTAAAAAATATATATATTTATGTTGATCATTTATTCTTTTCAGATATCGGATACGGAGAGAATTGTAGTTTACGCACCGGACTATTTTAGGAATCTCACTAAAGTTATAGCTAAATACAGCAAAACTGAAGAGGATAAGAGGTATAATGTAGTTTTATATGCGATTAATAATTGTTTTACGTGACTTTTCCCGGGTAAATAATAGCCTATGTCATTCGCGTATGATGTAGCTTCCGAAAGAATTCTAGGCATTCTAAATATTACCCCTTATAAACAGTTAGAAAATATCTCTTATAATATTAGTAGAGATGCTAGTCGTGTAGCTCGATGGCGTGGTCAGCGCCGCGGCCCGCGATCGTTGTTGTTAAGAAACTTTCGTATGGGTCGGTCACGGGATAGGTAACTAAAAAAATATTATCTTGAGTTACTCTGTGTTTCGGAAAGCACGTTAAGCCATTGGTCCCTTCTGGATTTGCAGTCGTTAATACCCTGGTCGGGCCAGCGTGGAAGGTCATAGCCCATCCTCCATAACCATGTATTAGTAAGGCCTGAGCTCCTGCAGTGGGGACGTAAAGGGGCTAATAATGATGATGATAGATAGCTTCTCCAGGATTCCCGGTTTTCTTAATTGCCTAACTGCAATACTTAGCCGTAAAGAAATCAAATCCTCATCTATTTCTCGAAATATAACCAAACTTGTAACGTTAAAAGCAGCTCATAAGTTTATCCAAAACTGGCCGTCTTTCGACTGGTTATAAGATTGCGTTATTTAGCTACATGGATGTATTGTACAAAGAAGTAGCCATTTTTTTTAATGAAATTGTCAAAACTTATAATATTAAACAGGTAGCATCCATTACCAAATGTTGTTGACATAGAAAGTGACGCAACTGTATCTGGCGTCACTAATCTATTATATTAACAGGTGTATTGACCATTCCTTTCAAAATTGTTTTGCTTTAATCTAGATATAAATAAATATGTTAATACTGATTCCATTAAAATATATGATATTTTATCTTCATTATGAACGACTATTTACACACATTAAATCTAACTCATCGTGATAGAAAAAAAGTTGACGTCGAGAACAGCGCTGACACAGCTTAAAGTTTCAATGAAATAAAACCTATCTCAAAAGGTATTAAAGGTTAATATGTACATCTAATCATTTAAGCAGATATTTTTACAAAAAAAAAGAATTACAGTGAAGTAAGAACTGTTAGTTTGAATATTATTATTATAAGCAATTAACAGTTCTTTCTTAATGACTGCAGATACAGCCAGGACCAACCTCTTGACGTGCCCAAGCACGGAGGAGCTTAAGATAATATATTGTTGGTAATCCATCCCATGGCTGGCCCTTGTGAAAGCTGCTTTATTTTCTTATCGTAGACCAAATACGCTAACCACTGCGCAATCGAGCTCCTGAAGCTTTGATTGCACTAATAGATTTGGACTCATAGATGTCAAATTATATTGGCATCTACCTGTCCTAGAAGCATCTCGGCATTTTGAGTGTGTTTTTCAAGGACCCTTACGAGTTATATGATGTGGCAAGTTTCCCGGTCTCTGTCGACTTACCTATCCAAGTCTTTCCGTGACGCCACCAAGATCTTGAGGAAGGCTCTATTCGGTTCCGAGGGTACGGAGGAATCTTGGCGGTATTGCGTCACTGACACTAATAATGCAATAGGTAAGAGTGGCTTTTTAAAATTTTTGAATCTCCTAAATAAGACCTTCATGCTTAAAACTTACTTATTTACGTTACACTTTTGGATTATTGACTTATGTATGTATACCATTCAACTCACTCGATGTAAGTAGTATTCGAGAAAATTAGCTGTTACAAACAGATGTAATCCTATAACAATTTTAGCTTTTGAGATGCAGACCTCTATATGGAACAATTGGTTTGACCAAATTATATTAGGTATACTATAATATGGAAGTAAATTCGATCGGTGTATTATTTTGGACACTCAAGTGTCGCGTCCTGTGTCCGAAGAGGTGCTGAGATGAGTGTTGACGATCCTTTGTAAAAAAAAAATGTAATTTAGTAAGCTATGAGGACACTTATACACTACACGAACTTTCCTAGATGTCTCTTTGTTTTACCTCTTAACATGAGAATTCTTGATGTCTCATAATAAGGTCATGTCTATGTACTCCAATTCCAAGGAATTGAGATGAGTGAAACAGATTATGATAAAATATAAAATGAGTTTTAAAATGAAAACCAGTGGCGAATGTTTGCCAAAAAAACGAAATGGCGAATGTTAAAGAACACAAAATGAGACGATTTGTTTGTCACATAAATATCATTGAATAAAATTTTCGTGGTATTTTATAGGTTTTATATATTTTTATAGGTTTCGCTGTGGGCGCAATGTTTGTCCGTGAAGTGTTTCACGGAGAAGCTAAAACTCAAGGAGAGATCATGATTGACAACATTCGGTCAGCATTTAAAAGAAACCTGGAACACTTGGACTGGATGGATTCTGAGACCAGAAACGCTGCTGAGGTAAAAGCTGACGCCATCACGGATATGATTGGTAAGTAAAAGAATGGATACTGTCTGTGAATTTGGTATTGTACCAAGAAATAACGTCCGAATAAATTGTATTTATAAATAATGAAACTGCATCATATTTCCAAAAAAAATATCACACTCAAGACATGAATTTATAAAATTTTCTCCATAGGAAATAATCGCAATGTTACCTCTGGAATTCACATTTTTTTCCACTCTTTTTTTAAATTGTACTCTTTCTTTTATAGGAAAAATTTATTTCTGCTATAAGTGAGAAACGTTTCAATATTAAAAACGAAAACGAACATTGACGGGTGATGGGGAACATTGAAACTTGACGATCTTGATTCACCTTAACACTAGGAATTATTTTTCTATGGATATACTCGTCATACACATCTTCTTAAGAGTTCAGTTGATCTTTACAGGTTTCCCAGACTACATACTACATAAGGAAGAGTTGGATAAGCAGTATGAAGGCTTAGAGGTGAAGCCAAACGAGTACTTCCAGAACAACATTGCCTTCAATAAGTTCAGTCTCACAAATGATCTGAAGAAGCTCGATCAGCCCGTCAACAAAACTAAGTGGGGTAAGTTATAACAAATTCATTATTTAATTTAATTTCAATATAGTGAATAACTAAATTTTATAATATGTTTAATTTTAAATTGTTGCTAATAATAATGACAATGTAATTTATTAAGTTCTTGTCTAAAATTATGTTATTAAGTATCTTTTATGACCTTGCAGCACACATGTACACCTAAAAGCAATTATATCTCATTGTATGTAATGTGACACTCAAATAAATATTTTGACTTTGTCTTTTATTTTTCAAATGTCTGTTAGGGATGACTCCATCAACAGTGAACGCTTACTACACGCCCACAAAGAATCAAATAGTATTTCCGGCCGGTATTCTCCAGCTGCCGTTTTATGATGGCGACAATCCAAAGAGTGTGAACTACGGCGCCATGGGAGTAGTGATGGGGCACGAGCTGACCCACGCCTTTGATGACCAGGGGAGGGAATATGACAGGTATGTATTCACGGCTGCAAGTCAGGTCACCATGATAAGTCAAATTTTCTTACTTGATTTTAAGTCTACTCTCCAATGCCAATGTCTTCAGAAAGACTACAATAGGACGGATAAGTTTTCAAATCCCTAAAATAAGTTAAATGGAAGGGCTAAGGGAATATCAAGTTGCTGCCATAGTTAGAAAAAAATGTACATCCGGGCCTGTCTTCAAGTGCGCGTTTATTCTAGTTATTTTTATAATAAAATATTTGAATATGTTTTTTTTATATATTTTTTCCACAGGTTCGGTAATCTCAACCAATGGTGGAACAATGCTACTATTGGTCGTTTCAAAAAGAGGGCGGAGTGTATACAGAAACAATACTCCGATTATAAAATGGAGGGTCAACATCTCAACGGCAAACAAACATTGGGTAAATAAATTAAAATAATCTTTTTAGCATTAGTAAGGAAGTATTACAAAAAAAGTAATTCTACAAGTCAAAATAGATGTCGCTGTTTTTTGATATATTACCATTAATTAAATTATTTCTGAAACGTGTTACGATTTACTTGCGGATGTAATGAAATTTTGAAAATTAGTAATAAGTTGTAGTCATATTTTTTTGTTTTCTTCGTAAATTTATTTTTATTTTTTAATTGCACAGTTGAACATTTCGAGGTGATTTATCGTTTTTGTGTAAAAAAATGAAGGCATGTGACATTTTTTTTGGAAATTGATCATGATCAAACTTTGGGTGGTTCCATAGAATTCTCCATCATAAATGTAAAAATTTTTGGTACTTTTACAATTAACTCATTGACTACTGTATTTCTTTTTCCAAAATCTATGAACGTAGTTCATATTATAACTCACAGTTTATTCTGGCCTTACTGTCCCGTCTCATACTGATATGGGTTTCATTGTAAAGACATCGGAATCAATAACTCTTTTGAAAAAATCTCAGTAACATTTTTTGTGTATAAAGTGTTCAGAGGAAATTCTTTGATTAAAAGGTATTTTTTTCAATCGTTTCAGGTGAAAACATAGCTGATAATGGTGGACTGAAGGCCGCTTTCCACGCGTACTTGGATTACAGTAAAACTGCTCGAGTGAATGTCACGTTGCCCGGCCTCAATTATAACCATAGGCAATTGTTCTTCATATCCTTCGCACAGGTAAGTAGTATTGGTGGATAGATTGACATATAATGGGATAGTGACGAATTTAAGGTTGGTGGTATCATAGACAAGCGCCTAGTAGGCGTCCTAGGCAGGTACCTAGTAGGTGCCTCAGGCAAGCGCCTAGTAGGCGTCCTAGGCAAGTACCTAGGACGTGCCTCAGGCAAGCGCCCTAGTAGGTGTCTCAGGCAAGCGCCTAGTAGGTGCCTCAGCCAAACACCTAGTAAGCGTCCTAGGCAAGTACTTAGAAGGTGCCTTAGGCAAGCGCTTAGTAAGTGTCATAGGCAATTGCCTAGCAGACGTCCTAGGCAAACCCTATAAAGTATCATAGGCAAGCGCTTAAAAGGTGACTTAAGCAAGCGCCTAGTAAGAATCATAGTCTCGTCTTAGTCGGTCTATAAGTATTAGGCAAATTTTTATTTAAAAAATTGCTTGCTTGGTAATTCACCGTATACTTACTATAAAATTCAAGTTTCCTCCTGGTGTATAAGTGTTTATTCGTTTATTCTAGGTCTGGTGTTCAGCGATGACCAAGGAGTCTACTAAGATGCAGATAGAGAAAGATGACCACACAATAGCGAAATACAGGGTGATTGGTCCAATATCCAATCTCAAAGAGTTCTCCAATGAATTCGGCTGCTCCATAGGCACCAAGATGAATCCTGAACACAAATGCGAAGTGTGGTAGAGATCTGAAAAGGACAAGTGAGAAGAGAATGCAGGGTGACAATTTTAAATTCTCTTTACCAAAATCTGTTTGAGCATTTTTTAAAGCTGGTCACCGTGACAGTAGTGGAAACATTTTCTTTGTATTTGTTTATTTTCTTTCTCTGATTAGTATGAGACGATATATCCTGTGCCTGACTTATTACATAGGTGTTTCTTCTATTCAATACAAAGAATTGGTTTTTTTTTGGAAACGGGTCTAATTATCCTATTTTAAAATCTATTGTAATCCCTTTCTATTTGACATGTGATAGCGATTGCAATCACGAAATTATTTTGAAAAGTTAAGCATTAGACGCTTACGTTTAAGTTACAAGTTTTTATTATTTCTTCTACATTTAAATATTTTTTTTTCGAAAGCACCGCAATTGCTTTATACGTTACATAATTCCATAAATCGCTTTACCTTTGAGGGGGTTCGCGATGGAATATGAAATTAGACAATTAGGCCACTGGTCTCATACGGGTTACATAAGGGTATAAGTACGCGGTTGATCGGGTGTAATGCGCATAGTAGACCGTATCGTGTTTCATGCCTGATACGTTAATAGCACTGTCATGTCATGTCACGGTGTAATTGAAAAACCTTATAAACAAATTTTAATTTTTAGATTTATGTCAATGTGTTTGTATTAAAATGAAACACCCTGTAAAGCCATATGTTATCGCTATAAAGCTTTACTGTGTGCATATTTATTTAAAACAAAATGAAAGCGAACAAATGATTACGAGTCGGTGTAATAATTAAAAAACAGTGTTTAAATTCAACACGACTTTTGGTTACTGCAAAAAGTAGTTGCATTCAATTTTGACCTTAACTTAAGGCTTAAAATCGAATGGAGAAATTTGAGATTTCATATTAACCTGAAGTGTTATCGACTGTACCTAATTATTGCATTTTATATCTAGAATTAAATTTGTACATACCTAATATATATTAATATTATATTATAGAGCTTAGCAATGTTTATAGTACAGTAACGGGTACAATTTTTATAAGGTTCACATCCATTAAAGAAGAAAGAGTTAAACCAAAGACAAATCAAAGATCCTCATAAACAAACAATGGCCGAACGCGAGTCGGACGATTAAAAAAAAAATCGCAAAATATATAACGTTTGTTGTATGGCAGCACCTCTTGAAAAAAAAATATTCTGTTTATTTTGGCAACAGTAATATATTTAATTCTAATATATCCTTAAGAATGCAAAATTAATTAAATATAATAATTGAAATATAAGTTCTAATAATTATTAAAAATGGGTATGTATTAATTAGATTTTCTTTTTATGAAATTCTTCACTTCAATGGATGTTGAACCTTAAAACGAAGTGGTTAAAATTCCTTTTGGTTGAGGTACGGATGCCAAATGAGACCCATTTTTTTTAACCACTGCAGCGCAAAAACGCAACTGAAATATATGAAAATTTTTGTATTATTTATTTAACTAAGGTAATGAATTAGCATGTGTACATACTTTATTACTATTTTCAAAGAATATTTTAATGAAATTAATAATTATCAAATTAGTACAAAATGAATAAGAAATCGGGACGCTAGACAATATCCTTAAAATAAGGACTGCCCCGGAAAATTCGAGATGCGTTAGAAACAACTCTGAGTGCAACAGACAAAAACAATGGTCCTCATTAGGCGACATTACCTTAGTGCTTTTATAAGAATTGACGTACAACATGAAGTTTAAATAATTTAAAAAATTATTAACTACTTCCTTAGATATCTATTGAAAAGTAAATAAGTATTTAGTGCTTTAAAGGTATAGGCAAGGTTGAATCACGAGTGATGAGAGTAGTATATATACTACCAAAGTACACAAAGCTTCGATGAAATAAAACCTTTATTAAATTTTGAAGTAGGTATTATTTAATGGAACCTGTATGGTGATTTCTAGACTTATGTTATTACTTTATAGCACTTACTTGCTATAAAGTAATAAAATAGGTCTAGAAATCGACTAACATGTACTTACCACCAAAAACACATAAAAGAAGGCCCTAAGACAAAAGTTACCAGCTACATACATAAGTCAGTGCCAAAACGATAGCAAAACAATATTATTAGAAGCGTACTACATTTAGTACCAGCCCTGCGATCCTGCCTTGCTATTCTGAAAAATCCAGACCCGAATTCGAATTCACGTCATTTAGCGTAGAAATTCTATTGATTCCACTTTTTTGTATAAAAATACAAAACAAAATTGATTGAATATCAAAACTCACTTCACTTTTGCAATGAAGTTTTACTGAATCGCAGGGCAGGTTTATATCACTATTCGATCAAAGAGTCAACACGTCTCAATTTGACGCAAGTCTTCTGTCACTGTCAATTTGCTTTAGGCGGCAAACGGTTTTAAACCAAATACATAACCAACTTTCGTCCTCGTTTTATGATAATACGATTTTTACTGCAGTCTGTTTTAAGGGCACATCGCTCGTGGCACAACCTACCATAATTATAAAGTTGTATGTTTTCCCCCATATAATCGTGTTGCTAACATGTATCTACGAGTATTTATTATAAAGTTATCTTTTCTTTGTGAATGTTTCATAGTATTATAATTATTATAATGGATGTGTGCAATGTATAGACGTACTTAATGTTAAGAGAATTTATATTTTATATTAGTGCCATTTTGATAAAACGATGTTATTAGATTAACTATCTATATGGAATTCATTTGATGTGATCGATTTGACGTCACAACTCGAGTCTGCGACAAATGTTTACTGCATTACTTATAAAGAGTTTTAATCTCAGAATAACACCTCAAGTAAATTAATTTTATCTTAGTTTGAAAATGCTGGTCATTTTATGGGATATCGTTTTAATTATAAGTTGTTTTTTTTCAACTAATTCTACCTATTAAGACATCTGAAGTACATAAAGTAAATATTCATTTAATAAGTATATTAGCTTTGAAAATTATGCTAATTTACAGACATATAAGAGCGCGAAATATATTTCAAAATGATGACAATAATATTTGTCCCAATATATCATCACATAAACAATGCCTTCTAAATGTCACATGCCATTTTATATTCCATGATCAACTAGATTAAGGTTCGCATTGTACGTAAGTCTCTTTGCCAATTTAAAGATAAAGATCGTGTGCTTTTTAGATTGAACAACTTATTTGCTGTGTAAGATCATTTCATATCAATTATCACTGTGGATCTAAATAGCTTAATTGGAGACCAAATAGTTAGATAAATACAATTATATTATACCACAAGGTGCATAAATGATGTTTTTCATTTTAAAAAATCAAATCAAATAGTGCTCAAACATTCACATTTGTAAGTCCTAAAAAATTTATAAAATGATTACAGTTTGTTAGAATAATACTTAAATAATAAAGAATATTTTATTAATTGTAAAAAAAAACTAAATGTCACAAATACATTTATTCAAGATCTAATAAGCATATACCAATCAGTATTATAACTTAATATTCGAACATTAAATATGTAATAGAAAAAAGCGCATCACCTTTTATTAAAAACATTTTTTAACTATTTTTATTTACTTGGAATTAATTTGCATAGGTTTAATTAAGTTTCGTAATACATAGATTGCTATAGAAATCTGCAGCGTAATATATTTGTATGTTTATGATTTTGACTGATTATTTTGAGAATATGAAATTATATTTGTGTTGTAAATTTATTGTCTTTTATTTTGACTTACCCATTAACGTCTATATTGTTCAGAAAAACCAGGAAAAACCGATATACCTGCGTAAATTCTGGCCAATCGGAGAAATTCTAATAGGACATATAACTGCAACTTTCTGCCTTTCTGCAGCACTAGTAGGTACATAAGTTGCTCGGTGGCGTAGTGGATAAGCATCATGGCCTGCGATAGTTGTTGTTAAGCAACTTTAGCAAGGTTCAGTCATCCCGGGACCGAAAGATTATTATGTAGCTATTCCATGCTCCGGAAGGCACGTTGCAGTCGTTAATGCCTTCCTATCCGCATTGAGCCAGCGTGGAGGGTCATGGCCCATCATTGTTTACCATCCATAAAGCCTGAGCCCCTGCAGTAGGGAGGTAAAAGGGCTAATGATGATGATTATTGTAAATTGTTTATTTTATTGTATTATTTCGATTTACGTTCGTCTAAATTGTATAGTAAAGCGAATATGTTTCACTGATGTAGGTATGTACCTGCGTGAATCCTGGCCAATCAGAACGATTCTAATTAGACTTATTACTGCACGTCAACGCTGGAAAGCAAACGCGTAGTAATCAGCAAAACCAAATTGTTCTTTAGAGTAGAAAAGCTTTTTTTTTCGAAAAATTATTCTTATAAATGTACATGGTAATAAATAAGGTGTTCTTAAGTTAATTTATTCGGAAATGGGATATTCTTTTTTTTTCAAAAAAATAAATATTTTCTATTATAAATATCCATTTTGGTTTTGCAGGTTACTACGTGTTTGCTTTTCAGTGTTGACATATAATACAGTTTTTTATGTCATACACCATCCACAGAGTAGAGCAGAAATCGAGATCACAAAATAAGAAATTTATTCTTAATGAGAAATTCTTCAAAATCCATTTGGTCCCTACCACCCTGAGATGGGATTCGAACCCATGATGATTCATGAAGAATATTTTTCAGTATGCCATTGTGAATGCGAAGTTAACCAAGTATAATAAAAATAAAATTATTATTATATATAATTATATATACATATATGCGAGGGTGGTTTGAAAAGTATTCGGCTCGACAAAGAAAATAAAAATAAAAATACGTTTTATTTTTCTATATATTCTCCCCTTGTCTCAATACAATGGCACTTGATATGCAATTAATTAAATAAAGCTGGCGAATGACAATAAATTAGTTTGCATACTACCCTCAAATCTCGGTCAGGCAGAGAACATTTCAAACCCTCGTATACACACACACAACCAAAGAAAACGAGTAAATTCAATGAACAGTTTATTTAAAAATACTATAAGTAATTAAACTTTTGGAAGTAAATTTACACACAATGTACATCACATAATTCGAAATTGCTTATTTACAATTCATCGTTCAATCAAAAACGTAACTCATTATATTTGAAGCCATACTATGCCTTATATCACAAAAAAAAATCTTGTTAGGACATAGAATCATGTAATAAATTATGCATTAGGTTTTATTTTAGGACCTCTTAATATAAATCTCTAAATTTATAAACGCGATAAAAAATCAAGCACATTCCCTTTAGTCAATAGAAATGTGAAACACAGAAAACGAAATAATCTTTCTCTCTCATATCTCTGTAGATATGACAAGGACAGCAAATGTAATCGCGTCACACATCGCCTGTGCAACAGATTAACAATTCATTAGGTTACTTTTTCAATAAAATGAGATTAATATTATGAATCAACAATTATTATATATATTTTCATATGAACGATAAAATATAAATATAAGGTATGAGTACAACTAATACCCTAATTTCATGATAATTTATAAAAAAAAAAAACTAATAAAAATGAGAAACCTTATTTAGTAAATACTTTGAATAGTACTCAATCACACAGAACCTTATTCTATAATTTGATTCACGTTTGTCGTTTCACTTTTCTTCCCAGTGCCGTATATTTTCTGGCACAACTCGTAGAAACGCCATTGACTCAAATCATCGGGACTCTCTTTGATCATTGTTTTGTACTGTGTCCTAATTTCGGTCATTTTTTTAGAACAAATCAACGGACTCTTCTTTAAAAACGAAGAAGCTTCGAGCCAAAGATATTTGCGGACGAATTTAGGATTTTTAAACTTGTCCAAATTGGCTAAATACCAAACTAATAGCTGTTCGATTTCGTTATCCGACCAGGTTGATTCTTCTCCGTTGTCATCTTGATTCACTGCTTCTACAATTTCAGCTCTAACAGCATTCTCTTTAGTCAGGATTTCCTTTAGCAAGTCACTAAATTGCGTCTTCTCTCCGGCTACTTCATCTGTCACAGCATTATAGTTTTGTTTCAAATAATTAATTTTGTTGAATAGTTTATTTACTGGCTCGCAAACGAAATCAGCTAATTCAGTCCACAGATATTTTTTCTCGAACTTCGGACTCAAAAACTCATCTATATGTTGAAGGTAGTATTGCAATGCCATCTCAACTTTATTTGAGGGTAGTAACACATCTTTAGACGGTTTGCTTTCATTGAGTTTCTTCTGAATCACTTTAGGGAATTTAGGCTTCAGTTTCAATATTCTTTCTATTACTGTATAATAAGGTGATTGCTTTTTACTATCTTCGTCTATATCTTTCATCTTTAAATGGTTAGCTTTTAATTTAGCAAACATTTTCCTGCACGACAATGGCGTTTTTGACAATTTCGTCGAGATCTCTGTCCACATCTCTTTCGGTTTTATCTCTTGTCCTTTTCTAGTTTTGATGTAATTGTGGTAGAGAATTAACAGCCGTCTCTTGCTTTTCTTTGTCCATTTAATCGTAACAGGTTTAGTTGCTGTGTTTTCTTCAATTGTCTCTTGTTTCTTGTCGCTGGAATTTTCTCTGATGACGATTTGGGCGTTACTTAAATCGCTGATGTCTCCACCTTCAGGTATGACAATTATGCATTGATAATCTTCATCTGAAAACATGAAAGATTGTTAGTTGTCTACGATTCTTCTGCTTACCAGCTGTGGGTGTAAAAGAGATTTATGAAATAATTGCCAAGCATTGATGATCTCAAGATTAGAAGTTTTGTAAAAGAAGGCAAATGTACAATATTGTTACTGAAAATAGAAAATAAATTAACATTGCATCTCTAGACTTCAAAAGTCAATCCTTCCATTTAAAGATTTTCACATATGCATCTATAATGGAGTCCAAAACAATATTCAATAATCAAAACTAAAATATGAAGTAAAGCAGTAAAGGGGTTAAAATTCAAGAAACTGAAAAATCAGTGCATTTTTTTTAAACACTAACTGACGTGACGAGTACAGAGCAATATGGCGTCCAGCGTTATCTTGTTTGTTCGAAATGGAAATGTCATTGACTAACACCACGCATGTGACTTTTTAGAGGTTTTGATATTTACTGCAATAACAACAATAATAAAAAATTTCATAAAGTTAATGATTTCAAATTAAATGAAATTAATTTGAAAATTAAATTAATTTTTAGATTTTAATTTATTATATGAATGATATTTACATATATCTACACCCCTATCGATACATGTTTTTAAAAATGGGCGTAATATTCTATCGTAAATGCATATTCATTAATGTTTGATAATAATAACATTACACTTACCATCTTCATTTCTGTCATCGCTCACTTCGTAAACTTCATCATCCACCTCCATTGCAGCACCAGCATCTGCCCTCTCATATATCTCATTGAACATATTATAATACTTCCAAGACACTTTGAACTCAGGATTATGCTCTTTAACCGTCTTCAATCTTTTATATGACTTCCTCAATTCAATAAATTTATCACGCACAGCTTTCATAGGCTTCTGCAGTTCATCGGCTAATTCTTTCCATTTGGTAGCAGTATCATCGTATGACAATTCATTGAAATGCAATCCAAAGTAACCGATCACCTGTTTTATTTCCTTAGGGGTCCACTCTTCGAAATCTTTGTCCGCTTTGTTGTTTTTCAATTTAGATTTTATGGCTCTATATCCAAAGACTTTTTTACATAAAGCATAGTATGGCCAGAGTATGGGCATTTCGGGTATGTTAATTTCACGTTGCACATATCCTGTGTAAACTTGTTTCAGATTCCTAAATCTATGTGCACACTGTTCTCCGGTCATGCCAATTTGTTTACCTAGTGCGTCCCAAAGCGTTTGCTTCTTCTTTAGAGTAGTTGAGAATTTATCTTTATTTTTTTGGTAGTATTCAAGTATTTTGAACGCTTTAGAGTCCCCCAATCCTCTTTTCGTACGTTTTGTGAAACCTCGCTCATCATATTCTTCATAATCTGTACCGTTCTCATATGGTTCATTATTCAAATCTATATTGACCTTTTTTACTGAAATTATAATAAAAAAATATTAGACGAATCACATACATATACACAAGTAGACAGGCATCCCTCGACACACGTATGTCATGTTGGTGGAATTGTGGTAGATGGAAGGCAGTCATTAAAGGCATTTAAACCCTCCACTGTCCTAGAATGACGTTACATATTTTATAATTTCATACTAACAAATATTTCCGAAATTAGTTTTAAAAAGTTTCAAGTAGTCCCAAATTTCGAGTCTCTATATTAAGTTTTTTTGACGTGGATACTACGTCTATGTTTTCGTTCTACAGGGGGTCATTCTGTGAGCAGGAGTATATGCACTAACGCCATCTATTGGCGTATAAGTGAACTATGCTTGCTCTGCAGGGGAGGGGCATTCTGTCAGCAGGAGTATATGCACTAACGCCATCTGTTGGCGCTAGTGAATACTTTTTTCATTCAACAAATGAACGCAACGAATATTTATTTATTTAGTGTTTAGTGTCTTCAATTTGTTTATTTATTTTTTTAACTCCGACATATATGAAAATTCATCATTACTTAATTTTCTAAAAAAGAATTTAATTTGGATTGTTACCAGACTCAACCCACAACTCTGGGCAATACATATTTAGATTTAACTTTTACACGTAATTTAAATGTTAACCAATTTCGTTACGTTTCATCTTTTTCATATCATCGACCTATACTCAATAAACTCTATTTAAAACATTAATAATTAGTATTATTTATTTTTTTATCAATTACTCATATATCCATTCATACATAGACGTATCCACGCATAAAATATGGCTGTATCAATGATACAGCCATATTTTTTTTATTAGAGTTCTAATTCAAAAAGAATAACGTTCTATATTCTATAGGAATGTATTTTTTGTATTTTTCACCGATCTTTGCGCGAATAATCCAGATTTTCCGAAATTGCATTAGTAGTTTGTTTTAATGACAACACTAGCTTTTGACCACGACTTCTTGGTATAAGTTACTTTAGGCAGCAATAGGATGATGATTGGATATAAAAAATTAAATTCTATCGAGTCTGATAGTCAGATAATAGAGAAATATTAGATACGTATTTTTTTTCACTTCAGTTTATCAAGTAATAGCTGAGATAACAGGCATTAAATTTGAGGAGTGGGGGCTCGCACGTCACAGTTTTGTAGAAAATGTACCAAAGCGTTACGGTCACATTTTAACTCGCCGTAATTTAATGATAACGAAAAATAAAAAAATAAGTGTTTAATATTTTTCAACAATCTACCTGACGGACAAACAGACAAAAATTTGTAGTTATCCCTATCATTTCAAATATTTAATTTGGCTAGCGGAAAAGTAACAAGCGCTTGAAGAATTCGTCAGTCCTGTTATGTCGTGGGTAGCTGTGGTTAGAGCAGTCGGATTGTAAAAGGTCATGGGTTCGACTGCCATTTCAGGGTGTCAGGACTTTTTAAGCATTTTTCATTAAAAGTATTCTTTTTTTTTTATTTCGAAAGTCTTCTACGTTATTTTTTTTATTTTTACTACCTTCCAAAAGAGGTAAGTGTTATTTACATTCGCCAATGTGTATAATATTTATATACGCCTAGGGCACTGATTTACCATGTGTACCTAATTTCAACCTAATTGAGTTTCAGAGCAAATAGTAGTGGGTTTAAAAAAATATCAGGCAATATTATGTAATATACACAAAATCAAGAAAACCTGATACATATAACTATATTGAACTCTCTGTAAGTCAGTCAGGGGTTTGGTCACCTACAAAATATTATCTCCAGTTACTCCATGCATCGGACGGCACGTTAAGCAGTTAGCCCGGGCTGCATTGCTGTCAATAATACCCTCCAATCCACATTAGACCAACATGGAGGGCATGGCCCATTCTCCTTATCCATCCATAAAGAAGGTCTTAGCCCCTGCAGTGGGGACGTAAAAAGGCTAATGATAATGATCATATATACTCTTTGTAGCATTAGAGATGACAAATGTAAATAATTAAAAATCTTACCTCCTATTTTCGAATCCATTTTATTTTGCAAGTTTTCATAGTCATTAAGTAAATTTGTATTCATGCCGTAATCAAATATTCTATCAAACAATTCAATGTATCTCCAATCGATTTGCAACTCGGGATTTTCAATTTTATCATTCAATATCGACTTGTACAGTGATTTTAATTCCTCCCATTGTTTCCGACAACTGGACAAACTTTTCTTCAATGATCGACTAATACAAGCCCAACATACAAAGTAACATACGGAATCCTTCAATAACTCCAAGTTTTGATAGAAGAATTTAACTAGTTCATCTAGTTCATCTGTGTTCCATATATTAATGGCAACTGATTTAGCATTAGCTATTTCAATTTCAACCTCTTTTGATATAATATTATCATAAAGTATTTCCAACGGTATGCGATTACGTAAAATATATGATCCAGTAAAATATTTCTCATAATGAGCCTCTTTGAGTTCATTAAACTTTTTCTTGCAATCTTCTGGATTCTTATCTAAAAGTCTGCCAACCTCAGTCCATAGGAAGTTATTTGGTATTGACGTATCAAGAAATTCATCAAAGCAATCAAAGTAGTACTTCGCGAGAATCGTACACTCTGTATCATGCCAGTCTTTATTTATAACTGTTGGTTCATCATTAACAATTGTATCATTTTGATTAGATTCAACATATCTATTTTGAAACACTGGATCATCTTTGAATATTTCATCAAATATATCCATATACACCCAGTTCACACTAGCAGGACCATCTACAGCCCTTTTAGCGAGCATCCTCAAATAATGCTGTTTGAAATTCAAAAAACGTTTATTCCAATATTCTGAGCTCTCTTCACCGAGTTCCATAGCAATCGATTCCCACATTGCTTTAGCTGAGATCCCATTCTTCTTATATCTCAGGTATAACTTTAGCATAATCAGAACTTTATCATCGGCAACTGTTCTACTATTGTTTACGTTTTTGACAACAATGACACCTTTTGAATTGTCATTAGTTGTTGTTACTGGAATCTTTGCAAGCATTTGACTTGGTTGCTCAGAATCTTTCATTAATAAATTCACATGGCTATCATCGTGAAATGCTTGATGGCTTAAATCATACAAAAACCAAGTAACATTGTAGCCGTTTTGTTGGTCTAGTCTTTGTTGTAAATATAACTTTCTTAATTCTTGAAGTTTATCTTCACAACCTTGTGCGCTTTTGCCAGACAGCATTGTTTTAGTGGCAACTGCCCATAAATGCTGTGTTATAGAAGCTTCATTGAGGAATGCTTCTTTGTTGTCAATATAGAACACTAAAAGTTTCTGTAATTCTTCATCAGACCAATCTGAGTCTGGTAAAATCTCGGTGACCACGGCATCATTATCATTGAACTGATCAGTGTCACTTGCTTCCAAAATTTCATAATCGGCATTGTCTTCTAGTTGAAACACGTGATCTCCATTAGATTCGTCTGCAGCATTATCTGGAAAGAAACAATGTATAAAGATTAAGATAATCTAGCAATTGGCACTTCATCGATGGAATTCACATGATACTTCAACAAGTCCAAACGAACCAAAATTATTGTCTATTAATTTGTAAGTTTTTTATAGCAACACTTAAAACACAAAAACAGTGACATCATTATCTAGTAACCAAATAACAGCAACAAGAAGGAAGTTTAACAGGGAAAAGTAAGTACTTGTTCAAGGTTGCAATTAATATTGTAATGGAAAGTGTATGTTTTCCATGTTTACACATTATTTTAAAAGGCATAAAAAATATAATAACTGAAAAATCTTTCTAATTTTATCTAGAGAATTTTTTATAACTGAGCATTTGTACTTTTATGGAGGGACAAGCTTTAAGGCTTCCAAAAGGTTTTGTGAGTTGAGAGATTAAGCTTGCCAACCTTTGGAATTTCTTGTAAGAAGGTCTACTGTAGGGTTTTATATATGCATGCATGTCAGGTTACCACAATATATTAAATTTTCCATTTTTTGCTTGTGAACTCTACCCTCAATATAATAAGGTTTAAAAATCCCACTAGAGTTGTTTATTTGATTTTTTTTAATATTTTCACTTAATAATGTATAATAAATACATCAAGTATTTTCTCTATATTAAAAAGGTTCAGAAATACAATAGTATACTCATGATAATCATAGAGTGGTTATTTTTTTATGATTAAATGAAAGCCATTTACATATTAAGAGGAAAAAAGTTATAACACAATAGGAAATAAGAAGTTTCACAGGAAAGAAATTGCCTTCATTAAAATAGTTAACACAAATTAGTTTCATTACATACTGTAAATATATTTTTTTAAATAAACAACTAGTTACCTTCAACATAATATAATATGATTTCCCCATTGGGCTGACATTCAGTTTTCACTACAATTTGCTCCATTCTATTGGTTTAGTTCGCCATCTGCGACTAAAAGATAATGTTCATATATTTATATGTTGGTTCATCATTTGGATGAATACTCAAAATCATAAGCAAAAATACAGATCCAATGTTAAGTATTGCTGAAACAAAAAATGATCACAAAATGCAGAAGGGCAACAATAAATAGTTCTGGAAACAATAGGTATAAATTGTTTTTTTTTTTAAGAAATCAGGTATGTATTTACTGTTGTTGCCACAAATAACTAAAAAAAACAAAAACAAGTAATTAGGGTTATTGCTCATAATGTAAGTCATAGAATAGATAGTTTAGTAGAAAGTAACAGTGTTATCTTGGACCCTTAAGCATGTATTTTGCTTAGCTCTTTAAGTGACTTTCAGGATACTATTACAGTTAGCATTACTTCAGGTACTGAAGCCTGAAATTTAAGATAGTAATAAATTCTATAATTTACTTCTTATCATAACAAGATTATTAGTTATTTAAAAATGCAGGCATGATGCCCAGTTTAACTGTAAACTTATTATATAATTGTATTGTAGTATCCAGGAGAATATTCTTTAAATTACCTTAAAATTATCTTATTCAAACTCATAAAAAATATTGTTTTTGTTTGTTTAAAATTGGCACCATTGACTGAGAGTTACAATTCATTAGATCTTCTAAATATGTCAGATGGATTTATTAATGTATTTGTTTTGTGAGGTTAACTGTCTCAATGGACGGAGCAAACTAAACTATGTGAGGTTAATTTTAATAAATGTATACATATATTAAAATTTTAGGCCTATGTTCAGCAGTGGATGTCTTCCGGCTGATGATGATGATTAAAATTTTTGTTTATTTTAATTATTTTAAATATTTTCACTTGATAATAAATAAGTATTTGTAGTCCTTGCTTTGTTGCATAGGTACCAAAAATGCAATTCAATTATATTAAATGTAGGAAATTCTATTCGCTAATTTATGAAATGTTTAGAATAGAGTAAAAAGCGCGGTTTTATATCAAAATAAAAATTACGTAAATATTCTTTTTGTATGTTTCGAGAAAGAGTTGATTTACTTACCAATATCTTCACAATGTTTTAATTTTAATTAATTAATTCCGTTAAGGCACACTTAGACTTTCCACTTTTTGCTTTATTTTGACAGGCCGGTAAATAAAACAACATTAATCGGGGAACACGGTCCGAAATACCTTTTAAAATATATCGGCGAGCGCAGCAATGCGTTATTAAAAAGCGTTTCGATCCGCCATTTTATTTTCTTAGTGACATCGCGTTTCGTGTACAAACTTCTAAACGTCAATCAGTACGTTCTTGTTGCTGCTGAGCCAAAATTGTATTTTATGGTATTGGAGTTCGGACACTATTGTGTAAATAACACACACAGTACATAAGTTATTAAAGCTGTATCAACCTTTTATTATTATAAGGTATCAAAAACTTTATTTTAACCTAATATAACATTAATTTGATGATAACCGGTGTTTGGCTTACCCAATAAATAAGTTCTGAAGTGGTTGGAGAGATGGAGGTAATATTAATTAATATAAGTTTGGCGCTTCTATATCTACATATCCGTATTTTATATATAGTATTAATGATAAACATAATCTCTTCCCACTTTCTGTACGGTGATTTCTTTTAAGCCACACAGCGGTTTTAATGCGGTTTTCATCAATATAGGGTGATTCAAGAGGAAGTTTAATATAGGAAAAGCTAGTAATTTAATAATATACAAACTTTTTACGAAAATCTAATAAAATTTAATTACTTCATGAAATATCTGTCTATTTAAAATTTTGTTATACTAGTCTAGTAATATTTTTTGAAGTTAGTAAGAACTAACTAGAGATGCGGCGAATGTTCATTTGGTATTCGGTATTCGGGTATTCGGCATCTTTTTCACTATTAGTATTCGGTCGAATTATTCAGATTTGATGCCGAATATATAATAAAAAAAAGTATAAAGTATTTAAAAAAACATTAGTTCCTGAAATCAAACTAGATGTCGCTACGGTACCTTCTTAATTTCTCCATGACAACCCTTCCGGATTTCTTTCATGTTTAAAAGTAAATTAGTTTTCAAAACTCAATAAACAACTCATATTCTATTTGTACATTTTCGTATTTGTTTTTTTCAAATTTCAGTTTTTTAAAACGCTAGTTAAAAGGAATGGAAATGACTGTCTTTGGTCCATTCGTTTCCTGCAAAAATCAACTTTTGTTAGAGTCGCCATCTAGTGGAGGAGCTTTCTTAGTGCTTTCGTTTTTTTTTTTAAATACTTCCTCATTCAGTTCAAGTTTTTCTATTTTCTTAGCTACACGACGCGGTTTACAATTAAAAGACAAAACAACTTATGGCAGATTTACGTTGCATTATAAGTCAAAGAAAACCTATGAAGAATGTAATCTTTACCGCCTACTACTGTTCTGTAGAATCTAACTGGTTGACTGGGAGAGAATGCCTCTATGGCATTAAGTCCGCCATTTGTCCTTAGTTAGGCAATAAAGAATAAATAAATATGTTCAATAAAGCTAATAAAATAAAACAATGAACTTCAAAACATCAATATTTTTAATAATAAATACTTAAAAACCCACTAGTCCAAGGTTCTCTGAGATTACACTTGAACCCACGACCTTTAGTAATCTGGGCGATTGCTCTAACCACTGAGCTAACCAAGACCCAACAGGACTTATAAATTTTTCAAGTACTTCTTACTTTTCACTACTGTTGAGCTTATTTTCATCAATGTTCAAGCAATCCACCCAAACATTTGATGTATGCCACTTCAAGGAAGTTGGAGTAAATGATCTTGATACTTATAATATAATTAATTATTTAAATTGTAATAGGAACATGGAAATTTTGATTTTGTACGTACATACACTAGCTTTAACCGATTTGGAGTTGGTACCTAAACTTTGATTGATTCACACTATTCATTGGTGAAAACTGTAGAATAATCTGAAAAGTTTTTGAGTTTATTCATTAAAAACTACCAAACAATCAAATCTATTCTCTTTATATTATAAATATAAATAATATATGTTATAATAATATAGGTATATAAATAATTTAAGGGTGCTTTGCACAAACGTCCCTTAAGGTTTAATGACGCCTTTAAGCTCTAATTCATGTAAAATTTGTATCGGTAATGTCGTCTTAAACGAATGAAAATTTTAATGGATGTTTAAAAATACCACTCCATCATCTATACTAACATCAATTTTAATTAATTTATTTGTATTGAGTAGGCTCTAAAACGACTGGGTCAATTATAAAAAAATATAGGTGAAGTCGCGGAATAAAATAGTGTACAATAATATAGTCAGGCGTTACCGTGACCAAGGCCAGTTTGTATCGGTTGACTATAGCATAGGAAATGCGTCGATGGACAACAAATAATCCGTTTAGTTTACCGTTGATCCTGAAATAATAGAAGAGATAATTTTAAGTAAAATATTGGTCCATGCCGACGAGGACATGAACTTACTAATATAAACAAATAAATACAAATGTACGAAATAGCTAAAAGATATCAATCTATTATATGTATATTATAATATTATATTACTATATTTACCACAAAAAAAGAATAAAAAGACAATGTGGATAAAAAATAATAAATAATAAAAAAAACTCTAATCAAGTCACAGTATACTTTTATCACCCGATTATCAAAATCGGTGAAGAAGAAAAAAAATTGAAGAAACTACGAGGGTCAAACTGAAAGTTCTTAGAAAATCAAAAACTGATTACATTAGCCAGTTATTAGTTTTATTATATCTTTTCAAAATATTGTCCATTCACGTCAATACACCGCTGCATGCGATGGAACCACTGGGAAAAGCACTTTGCCCACTCGTCCTTAGGGGTCTCTTCAATCGCATCGCGATACGCAGCCACCGCTTCTTCAGCATTCATAAACCGCTTTCCTTTAAGTTTTTCTTTAATTTTTGGAAATAAATAAAAATCACAAGGCGCGAGGTCGGGGCTATACGGCGGGTGACCCAGTAATTCAACGTTTGATGTCGCCAAATAGTCGATCGTTCGCTTGGCGGTGTGCGACGAGGCGTTGTCGTGGTGAAGGAGGATCCTACTGCGAGGTCGTTTCTCTCGAACTTTTTCCAAGACAAGTGGCAAACAATTGGTAGTGTACCATTCTGCAGAAACTGTTTTTTGATCCTCTAACACAATTGTTGCAAAATGACCTATCCTTCCAAAGAACGAGGCCACCATTTTTTTCCCGCACTTCGATCTCTCTTCACTTTAGTTGGCAACTCCTCGAAAGGAAACACCCACTGAGCAGATTGTCTTTTGGTTTTAGGATCATAACAGTAAATCCAGCTTTCGTCACCTGTTAGTATGTCGAACACAGCATTTGAGTCACCTCCGTTAAATCTTTCAATCATTTTACGACACCAATCCACACGATGGAGTTTTTGAGCCTCAGTCAAATTATGAGGTATCCACCGGGCGCAAAGCTTCCTGACCGCTAAATGTTCGTGGAGGATTTTGTGCACTTGACTCATACCGATGCCTAAGCTTGTCCGAATCTGTTGATAGGTCACTTTTTTGTCAGTCTCTATCATACGCCGCACAACACAGATGTTATCTTCAGTCGTCGCCGTAGAAGGCCGTCCCTCACGTAAATCATCAGTGAGATTAGTGCGACCACGTTTAAACTCATTAAACCAGTTGTAAACAGTCGCACGAGATGGGGCTTCATCGTGAAAGGCCAATCGTAGTCTATCATAACTTTCTTGTTGACTTAAATGACATCGAAAGTCATAAAAAATCATTGCACGAAAATTTTCTCGTGTTAAATTCATGATGACGTGACACAGACAATTTTCAATTTGCCGCCAAATCGTAAAACAAATGACAAATGAATGAAATATATACTCAGTAATATTGGCAAAGAGTTATATTTTCAAATTTTAGAATTATTTTTTTATTATATTGTTTATAAGTGGCCAGTTCTAAGAACTTTCAGTTTGACCCTCGTACTAGGTCTCCCAACAAAATAGAGCGATGGCTGCTGCGAAGAATTGGATGAGGACCGAGCGGGACTAATCATCGTGGAGATATTTGGGGGAGGCCTTTGTCCAGCAGTGGACGATTTCCGGCTGATAAAATGACGATAATTATTATTATATAGGTTATAACTATCTTCTAGATTTTTATATCCCTGTTCTTGTTTGAAACAAATGCAGCTGGGGTTCGAAAGATAGAGGTTTAGATATTAAACTAGCTTTCGCTTGGTTGCCCCGGGCTGCGAGCAGCCCGGGGAGGTCACGAGTAGCTGGTGGAATCGGGGCGGTGGGGTTTCAAGTCCGCCTCGAAAGCGGATTTTAATACTTTTCGTTTTTTTATCATGTTGGGTTTACAATTTGAAATTGCTTAGAAAAAGTTAGTAAGTTCTATCTTCAAATGAAAGGTGTTTAAGCACCATACATCCAATAAAATGGGTTGCCAGTTTACGCTTAATAGAAAAAGAAATATTCGGTCGAAATACGCAAGAAAACCTTAAAATAAATTTTGTATAGATCGGCTCGTAGTCTTTTATTCTCTTATTCTTATTCAATATTAAGTTAATATTTAGTTAATACAGATATTGGGGTTTTAAGTCCGCCTCTTGTTATGTTGGGTTTACAGTATAAAATTGCCTAGTAAAAATTAGTAAGTTCTATCTTCAAATGAAAGTTGTTTAAGTACACAAAGCACTCAATAGAAAAACAGTTGCTCATTTACACTCAATAAAAAATGAAATATACAGTCGAAAACGCTAGATAGGCTTGTAGTATTTTACACTCTTATTCTTATTCAATAGTAAATAAATTTTTAATATTAACAACAACAATAGACATATATTTCCGAAAGTGTTACTATTATTAATCATTATTTATTGTTTCTGCATATATATTTTAAAACTTGAAAAAAATACTTTATAATACTAAACTTTGAGAAAAGATGTGTGCGTTTATAGAAACTATTTCACAGAAATAAAGTTACAATATCAAATTAGTTTGAATAAAAAACGAACATTATTTTTCATACATCTAAAAGTATAGAAAAATGTACGTAATAATTATCGTGTCAAAAATTGCAAAAATTGGGAAACAAATGATCCATATATATACACGCTATAAAGCTCCCGAATTGTCAAGTGAATCAAAATCAAATCTGAAATTAAAATGGTTACCTACTGCGCGG